GTCCTCTAGCAGGTTTTTGATCATAAAATTACACATTTTAAAGAATTTATAATTCAGTTTGAGCCTAAACTTAATAAATGAATATTTTGAAGATCTGTAAAAGTTTTACTGTAGATTATTTACTTTAATGTTTTAAAACAGGGTAAGTTTTTTTTTTTTGGTAAAAGGAACATTTGTGGGGGAAAAAATAATTTATTTGAAACTTAGTTGAAGGTTTGTACACATCTGAGTGTAAACTTTCCTCTGGGAAACTAAACCACCACATTTCCTAAAACGTTGTTCTGGATGTAAAATACAGCTTTATTATAATGAATTCACCTGTTTATTTTTAAGACCTAAACTATTTTTATATTTTTATTATTTTTATGAACAGCACAAGAACAAGACATTGTAATAGGCTACTAAAAGTGAATTTGCATTGTGCAGTGTGAAGGCTTTGCTGAATGATGTTTGCTGAATAGTTAAATAAGCTAAACTAGCCTAAAATGTCTAAATGTAGCTGAAATTAGCACTAAGAAACAGGAAGAGCATGTTTGCTGAACTTAGCTGTAAGAAGATAAAATTATCACAAAAAAGCTGCAGGAAAAAAAAATCACACACTAGGTAAAAAGCTTAAATTAGAAGAAATAAATTTGAAATTTGCAGAAGAACAGCAGAAAAGGTCAGAACAATAGCCAAAAAGGCAGATAAAGCTAAAATCAATGCAATAAAAACTAATGAAAACAATGAAAATAATATAAAGGAGTTAAAAAGGCACAACCAAAATAAATGATAAAAAGTGCGTAAAGATTTATGAACATTTAAAAATCACCTACATTCATTTTCAATGAGAGAAACATGGCAGACAAAGCTAAATATTTAAATATATATATAAATTGCTGAAATACCAAAAGTCATGGCTGGAATGTCCTGCAGGAGCTGAATGTTTTGACTTTTAAATTGGTGAAATAGTGCATAAACTGTGGGATGAGATACATGCTGAAAAATCTKTGAAAGAAAAAAATGATGAAACTTGTGTATTAACATGACTAAAAMGCATCATCAGCTGAGATTTTAGCCGTTTGATCCCGCACTAAAGCAGGTGATGACTGATCCGTGTCGAGAAAATACAGCAAATACAGCCACACAAGAGTTTCTACACCATGATCAACGTTCACTTAGAGGTAAAACTTTGTAATGAGCCTTTTCAGATGACACAATGATGAGGTTCTGTTAAACGAGAAGGATGACATCACACTTATGGCCTTTCTGCAAATCCACCAAGACAGCTGGAACTGTCTGTCTGTGTGCTGCTTGACATAAACAAAGCTCTCACTCTCACACACAGACACACACACACACAGAGAAGCACAGCACTCACACAGCTGCTGCTAAATGTGAAGCAGAAATTCAATCATTAGATCACCAACAGATTCCTGCGATGTCGATAMGAACAACTGAGCAGATCTGTCCTCAGTGACAGCTGTGCTGCTGCACACATGTAGACACAAACTACCATCAAATGACTAAAAAAAATACTTCAGCTGACACATGCCAAAGATGCTGCAGGCACACACAAGTTTGCATTTCTACCCTTATTTGGACATCATTCATTTCTGTAGCTTAAGCCCAACACTTCTTCTTGTTCTTTCTGCTGCTCCCTTCTGCAGAAGGCTCACTTCTTCAAACCTGCAGCTGCAAAATTACAAGACTGCAGCACTGACCACCAAAGTACTGAAGCCCACAGTCCATTACCCTAGACAYAACTAACACGGTTACTTCAGCTAAATAGGCAAAAAACTGCAAAATAAATAAATAAAATGCATTTTTCCATAATAAAAAAATCTACAAGGCTATTTTAAAATCTTTGTAACATAATATAAGGTCTATGGTTTGGACACTAGCAAGTTTTTAGTGCGATACATGACTACTACAACTTTTTTAGTTATTTCAACTAATTTGCCTTTTTCTTTCAGGTCTTAAACATCTGCAAATCTATGAACTCTACAACCAATATACAATTAGCTATTGTATTACAATATTTATGTCCAAACTAAAACCACATATAGGATGAC